ACATCATTCGGACCTCGGTGCGAGGTTGTCTCGAGACAAAGCAGCCCGTGAGCCAATCAGGTTGTGTGGTCAGACATAAACCTATGTGGATTCTTATATAGATTCTTATATAGATACAGTAGATGGATAAGTTAATTGCTCCTTCCTCTTGGTACCTGGTAAGCTATACGAATTCATTGGCCCCGTAGACAGGAGGCGAGAACCCGGAAAACCAGCCAACTGTGGAGTAGATGACATCAGTTCACACAGGCGCCCATCTGAAATCAATTATGGGGCAGATGACATTGAGCGTTCCCACAGGCGCCACTTTTGTCACCACGGCTTTTCTTATATAGATTCGACCGGGGGTGTGACACGTGACCCGAATTACCAGTTCGACCATTCGACCACGGCCGAAATTTCGCATGACAGAACCAGAATTTTCGACCACCGGAACAAAAATTTGCATCGTGGAGGTGGTTTTGAGCAGTTTTGAGGCCTGCGTGACGAAAATTACATTCGACCAGGGGTTAGGTTACGTGTGACAAAAAATCAACATTCGCCATCGACCAGAGGGTGGGTGACACGTGATGGTTGAATTGAATGCAAAAGTACAGTAAGGCTGAGTATTCTGACAGGAGCAAACACGGTCCATCTTAACGAGCGAGGCCGCCGACGGCCGGGACGGAGGATAAGGGTTGGAGGTAAGGAATAGGGGTTGCGGATCAAAACGGATCATGCTCCGGGTCGCATCAATCGGCCGAGCGGCACAGCATCTACACAGTTCCACCCGATATCATCCCTTTCTCCAAACTCTCATCTATCGGCTGTCTTTCCGCGACAAACAACAGACAGCTGCCTGTAAATTTATCTACCTATTCTCGGCCCTACAAAACCCGGTTACGCTGTAGAATTTGCTCCGGCGGGGACTTTCCAGACAAGGTAATTGCAAAGAGAAGGCAGGACTGTTAGGCCCGGATACAAACCAGTGGGGAATGTGCTACAACTAGGCTAGCTTTATACACTTGGGTAATAACCAATAGATAAGGAATATCAAATAAGTGGAAGCATAGCAACGGATTGGATGACTCGCGGATCACCGCATGGGTAGATAACGAACCGCATGGCAAAGATATGGCCAAGCTTGTAAATCCAACATACGCAGCACTAGAGCATCGTACAAAGAGGCATACAAGACTTTTCAATTTTGATACTTGGTTGAAGTAGAGCCTAGCATCCAAAGCAACCAAGGTTGAGTGTACGGACTCGCAGTTTATTTAAACCATGCACTTTGTTGAAGTAAGCCCCTTGAGATTGCAACTGGGGAACCTCGTTGCAATCCGGTAGAGTACACAGCTGTAAGTACTCTACTTTATACTAATTTACTTTATCTAGGCTGTGTATACCAGCGCATAACCCAGAATAAAAGCTGTAGTACCATGTGAACGATTACTCTGAACTAGTAAACCTAGCTGTGAGCTCGCAACAGCTTGCAACAGCTTTCCCTGATTTCAACAGCACTCATATATTTTCAGACACGTTCTTCGTGACAGAGGCTAGACACAGCATCTTGATTTTTAGGATTACCTATTCGCGGGACTCCCTTATCCTCCAGTCCTATTGCAACTCCGAGACACAAAAATCATTCCCTGGCCATCCAAATCGTGGCGCGTAGCTTAAAAACCCCTTCTCAAGACATTCGCTGCCCACTTGGCTTGAGACTCTGCTCACAGATGTCGCACCTCTGCTGATGAGTATCAGCGAATTTCTCTCAAGGTCCAGCCATAGCTTCCGTGGGGAATGCCCTCCATGCATATATACATGATCTTCGGATCTCCCTCAGTCCGTTCCACCTCCTTACCACCATGGATTATGTCGTCGATCCCGCCGAGTTCGATCCCTTGTGGACAATTATGTTGGATATCGTCTGCCTGGCCTGCGTAAGCCACGTCTCACTCGCGTACGGTATTTGGACGTTAATGTCGATCCTGACTACGCTTGTGCTGTATGGTTAGGGGTTATACCGCCACCTGCGCCATTCATCTCACGACCCGCAGGCCTATACGTCGTCCTATTTATCTTCGCAATTCGCATCCTCATCCGTCGAGACTCGCCGGGACGCCGGGTTCTACTCGGCACCACATCAGTAATGTTTCTCCTCGGGACCTGTGGCACTCTCGTCGTCGTCGTGATGGCCGGGGTCGCTATTCGGATCAATAAAACAGTGGTCCAAGGCTCCGCTGACCTTCCACGCCTGGCTCAGCTACTCAATGTTCTTCAACTGACGGAAGTTGTACGAGTGACAACGAACAAGTCAGTGCCTCACTGTGTCGGCTGAACCTCGCTGATGCAACTCCCACCGCAGTGTAGTGACGGACTTGCTTTTGGTAACTTTTTCCACCTGTAACCCCTACCTTCAAGTGAATCCTTCCAGTTATATCGTTGTTATATTATCTGGGGCTCAAATAAGAAGGTTCTCGTCCTACCCGCCATATGCATCTTGGCGACTGTCGGTAAGTCGAATCCGTTCTCGTCTGCTTTTAACAAAAAAATGAGTATTGTGAAGTCCTTATGATTGTCTCCTGGCTGGCACCACTCGACGAAGCTCCCTATATCGATTCCAGGGCACCTTTCATTGCGACATTGGGGACGAACGTACTTCTCATGCTTCTAACAGGTACGGCCATGATTCAAACTCACATGAGCACCGGCTAATGAATCCAGCTGGTCGAATATGGTATATCGCGCGTAGAGTCCGGATAATCCATGAAGATCACCCAGCTTCTCGAAGTCAGTACAATATGGCCATTGCATTAATGTGCGTATTTTGCTTCAATCGAAGCATTGTCGTGATTACTGTAATGCTGATGATTCCGACAGACTCGAGTCTGGTGCAATGTATTGTTTCTGCCTGATCCTATGGGTCATCTCTCTGACCACTGCTGTCAGCCCTACCGGCGAATCTGTGAGTTTTTCGTGACACCATGTACGCCGAATCTGACACATAGACGAGGCGGCCATATTCGCCGGTATCACCGGTGGTTTGGTGGCACAAACTGTTGTCAGTGGCAGCACAAGCCTCTTTAAGTTTTTGTTTCCTGACACATGATTTGACAGAATATCGCCCCAACCCTAATCCTCGTACGCGTTGGCAGGGGTCACTGGCAAGGGACTCACGATATTAAATCCCCGGCTACTGACCCATCCGACGGGAATATCAGGTTCCGGGTGCCCTCAAAGCCTGTAGACACCTCATACCCAGTAATTGAAATCAAGTAGCTGGAAATTTGTTCGGTATTTGTCGGTTTTCGAAGATGAAGAAATTTGGACAAGTTTGGAAGCACTGGGGCAAAAAGTAGCGGAAGTCAAAGTGTGGGCGTGCGGTTCGCTCCACTAAACACCTCTCCGGTCTAACGCGTACTATGTACTCCTTCACCGCATCCTGGTTGAATTTGTGAATTACAATACAACATGAAGAACAGCGACCCAGGTTCATGACACGTAAATCCTCCATTTCGCGCGCCAGATCTGGGTCGGTCTTTGACAGGGGCCAAGGTGGGGCGCTCCCAAGATAGCCAATTTCGAGTTCGGGGGCAATACTGGCGTCAAATTTCGCCTCGGATTTTGAGCTGGAGTTTCAGCATAAATGCAAGCCCCAAGGAGCCCATCCGATAGGTCGCTATTGTTGCATTGCATTATTCCCGTCTTGCCCTGTGGCGCAGGGCCCAACCAGAAGGCGCTCGTAATTCGGTTCTTATCTCTTCAGATCTTTGTCTAGCCGCCCATACTTTGCAGTCGGAGGTAGCAAGCCAGACAATGTTAGTACATGGTGAGGTAGTGAGCACGCTTCCCGTTTGCGTTCAACGCAAGACCGCCCTCACCGATCCGGATTGAGGCATCGTGACGTCCAGGGTCCATTCCAAGGACAGATATTATGTTGCGAAATGGGCGCTTGTGGAGTTCACCGTCCCCCCGTGGCTCGAGATTTTGGAATGAATGAGGTGGCGTAGAACGGCACTTCAAGGTTGTTTTAGGGTTGAGTTTGGGAGCACATGCTGCTATCTTCGTGATAAGGATACACAGGGGATCCGCGCCACTTGACATGCGAACGACAGTTGGAATGGATTGGAAGAGATTCGCGGGAAGTGGCGGCGATCTGGGTCAGCTGGGCTGTCCTGTTCGACATGTCCAATTTTGCATACAAAACCAGAATCAAGGTCCGCAGATACGGAGAATTCTGTCGAGGTGGTGTATTCCTCCCAGCCGCAACATTTGAGGTGAATGGCGTCAACGACCGCGTCCAAGGAGGAAATAAGAGTCCGAGATGGAGCTGATGTCTAGAGGTTATCCGAAGATGGATAAGCCCGTCCAGTACGTGGAGAATGACGCAGAAGAGAGGGAGTCTCGATCCCATACATTCACCTACCAGTAATCTCACATAAGCCCGGAGCCGCGCCCCAGCGTAACCAATTTATTGGACGGGAAGGGGCACGAAAACAATCGCATGTGCCACATGGAGCTCTCCAAGTCGAACGATTCGAGGACGCCCTTTACCACAGTTGTTAGATTTCGCAATGCTGCGGGCCCGACCAGCGGGCCTCATGTTTTCTTTGAACATACCTGTGCTAGTAGGCCTGTGTCCATGGAGTGAATGACCTTGACAGCTGTTCATTAACACATGTCCCACTCCCAGCCCCAAATCGAACAAATTTCCGGAATCCATCACACTGCAGGCGTGCATCCCAGCGGCGGGATTTGTTTACCTTCACGCGTCCTTGGCTGCCATGTTCTGTTCTTAAAGTAAATTGTTTTAAACGCGAGATAAAAAGCGTAGTACTCTCGTACCGAATGTGTTACCTTCGATTCGAACGGCCCTCCCGCCTGGAATCCATCGCAATGCAATCCAGGCGTGTACCACACCAGTGGGACTCACTTGCCTTCACGTTTACCGGAACGCCATCTTGGGTTGGTGGAATGAATTATTTAAACGCGATATACAAAAAGCGTTGACTCGCTACCAATGTCCCGCCCCCGAGTCGAACGGGGTCGTCCTGCACAACTATTGGGCAGATCTGCATATGAAATGCAGGCGTGCGCCGGGCACCAGCGGGACTCATATACGTTGAATGCATGAACGTACCTGTACCTAGTGGAGTCATTATACGCCACGTTGCTGTCCAATTTAAATTATCGGAGTACGGGCGCTCATATGGATGACGGTGTTGGCGATACGCCAACAACGATTCAGACTGTTAAGACAGTGTCCATAGAGTGAATTACCTCGAACCCACGATAAAAAGCGCACAGCATTGACCGAATGTCCCGCCCCCGGATCGAACGGGGTCGTCCTGCACACTTGACATAGAATGCAGCACAAGCGGGACGCATACCTACCTGCACGTACATCTGCTAGGGGTGCCGTATTTCCGCAGGTAGACTGAAGTTGAATTTTCTCGCGAGGTAGGGGGAAAGTAGGATGCATTATTTATTAGGTATGGGGTCCATGGTAAGCCACAACGACGCCACCGCACGCACCCGCGGCAGTGGGGGACGCAGGGAGTGGTAATGGGCGGGGGCGAGGGGGATAATGCGAGGGAATAAGTACTGATTCGAAGTTCAAGAGAAGGCGGGTGCGCGGGATGACGATGTACCGCGGACGCTACCACCGCTCGGAGCGCACGTCGCTCTCACTGTACGCGCCCGCCGCGGGCCATGGCCACGGCTGCTCGCCATCTCCCCCCTCGTCCTGCGCGCCTGTGTAGCCATATGCAGGCCAAGCGGGCGCGGACGCGGAGGGATACGCGGATGCCGGCCAGGACGTGTATGGATGGCGCACATCCGCATACGCGCGGTCCGCACCTGCGTCCGTGTATAGGTTGACGGGCGGAGATGCGTGCGAGGATACAGGCGGGGACGCGTACAGGGCGTCCGCGCGTATGCCCGCATACGAGTTGTCCTCGCGTATGTTTGCGTACAAGGGGACAGGCGGGGACGCGTACGGATTTTCCTCCCCCACCTCCGCGTACGAGTTGACGGGGGGCGACGCGTACGAGTTGGCAGGCCGCGACGCGTACGAGTTGACGCGCGGCGAAGTGTACGAGTTGCCGCGCGGCGACGCGTACGAGGTATCGTCTCTCATATCCGTGTACGAGTTTACCGGCGGGGACGGTGTCGTGCGGCCCCAGGAAGACGAACTGGTTGACGGTGGAAACGAATAAGCACTGCTCGAGGCGCTGCGCGGGTTTACTGGCGGGATATGTAAGCGAGGGTTGGTGGGCGGGGGTGACTGGGATGGCGCGGGGGGCTGGGATGGCGCGGGGGGCTGAGATGGTACCCGGGGCGGAGATGGCGCGGGGGGCTGAGATGGCGCCCGGGGCTGGGATGGCGCCCGGGGCTGGGACGGTGCGGGGGACGGCGGCGCCTCGACTGCGGGACTCGCTGTATTACGACCCCCGGGCGTCGCGTGGTTGCGAAAGTGACGCCGCATATTCGAGTTGACGTTGAACGCGCGCCCACACCCGGGGTGCGGGCATTTAAACGCTTTAAAAAATCTTATTAGTATCCGTCCCAAAAGCTAGGTGGTATTCGGACAGGGACGCACGGGTGACACCGGTATGCGTGTTGGCGTGCATGCGGAGGCTGCTAGGCCGGTTGAACCGCTTTGCGCATGTGGGGCAGATGTGGGTCTTCTCGTCGACCGCCCTCCTGCCCGAGCCTCCGCCGCGTGTTTCGAGTGCATCGTCGTCGTACATTATTGGTAAGGAGTGCGTGCGCCTCGACGGAGTCGGGCGGCTCAAGGTAATGTACTACGGCACGGAGCCCGCGATAAGCGGAAATTGAAGAAAAGAAGCCTCTTCCAGTCCTGGAGTCCTGGAGTCCTGGAGATACGAGGACGCGGGTGAGACCGTTCGTAGTGCTGGGACCAGTGCAGGTGGGCTCGGGAGGGCTCGGGAGGGCTCGGGTGGGGGTGGGGAGCTGCGGAAGCCGAGAATTGAACCAGTAGGATCGGCGGGAGTCGAGATGCACTGATGAAAAAATGTGTCACGTCAAGTCAGTGTCAAGCGTTGCCGGCTGCCGATGTCACAACTGCCCACGTGTCTGTTCCCCTTTGGGTTCGTTCCCTCTAAAGTAAAGATTAGAGTCAGAGTCTAGTGTTTGCCGGTGTGCGAGGCCTGCATCAGACTTTAAATTCGTCACGCAGCATGATACATTCCTGACGATTTCGAGATATGCATTTACTATCTCCCGGGTTCAGCTTCGTGCTGCAGGCTGCAGCCCAAGACAACCTCACGGGATACACCCAGCTGCGGAGTGAACCACGCATTTCTGGACTCCGAATACCTACAGTGCTCTCTCCGAGAGACGGCGAGGGCGGTAATTAAAAATCATCGGATCCCGCGCCCAATGTCCCGCCTCGAGTTGAACGAGGTGCTCTTGCTTAACTTGGTCTTACTAACTTGGCCTTAACCGCTATCAATCAATTGCAGAAAGGATGCGGGTACAAGCGGGAGTCGTACCCACCTTCGTGACTTCGTAACTTCGCTTAAGGTTGCGAAGTTTCGTCACTTTAATGGAAAGTTGTGAAACCTCGTCACATTGGTGAGTTTCCAGGAAAGTTCGTGAGATGTACAAACCACACAAATCAAACACATCAATCCGGCCATCATTCTCCGCCACTCAAGTCTCTGCCAATTTTTTTCATATAGATACCTTGCTAACCCTAACCACTAACTTCTAACCCTAACCACTAACCACTAACCCTAACCACCTAACCCCAACCACTAACCACCTAAACCTAACCGGCTCATCTCGGCAAGCTGTTGATACGCATCACTCCGTGATGTGCCGAGGAGTCGCCGCTTGACAAGTCCGGAATACTAACTTACGAATTTTCACAGAAAGCTATCAAAATCACGAGCTTTCACGGATTCCATCAAAGTTACAAAGTTTCACAAAACTAAGCGAAGTTACGAAGTCACGAAAATGGCGCGGACTCTACAAGCGGGACTATCTTTGCGCTGCTGCGCTCCTTCACGTTCGGTTTTTAGGCTTCGGCAACAATCAACCATGCGAAAACCTAAATTTTGCGTCGGGGATGTCGAAATTTTGGGGGGCGTCACACCAAAATTCGGCAGCTGTCGAATGTTCGAACTGGTTTTTTGGGTCACCGGCCACATCCTATCAAATTGAACGAAAAAGGCACGATACCCACTGAATGACCATGTCCCGCCCTCAAGTCGAACGAGGTCACTCTGCACAGCTACGCTAGATACTCACTCACAGAGACATGCGCCGTGCAGCAGCGGGACTTATTACTCTCCTTACCCTTACCTGCCCTTGTAGAGCCAAATCCTTGACGCAATTCTGTGAAAAAAAGAAAGACCATCCGGCAACTTTCAAGGTACAGACGTGCATCCTTTGTTCCCTGAATGTACGCAGCCAGACTTACACCGCCGCCGTGTGTTGAGTAAAAATAGCCAGACACAGACCTCATGTCCCGCCCCCGAGTCGAACGGGGTCCTTCTGCTGGAAGTTGTTTTAGACGCGACAATCAATTGCAGAGGTGCGTCGTACACCAACGGGACTTCTACACTGCAACGATACGTGCACTCAGGGCAGAGTTTTCCAGCGATTTAGCAGTTGCTTGACCGTCGAATTTACGGCAGTCCCTAACTCAGGGGAGTCATCTGGCTGAACGAGTTCATGTTACAGTCTATGCGCAAACTGGAATATATGGTGTTGAAATCACCTCTCCCGCTGGTTAAAAATAATAGTCTGCCTCACGCATGTCCCGCCCCCGAGTCGAACGGGGCCCTCCTGCCTAAACTTCTCGTGGTCGCTTTAGATAGAATGTAGGCGTGCACCGCGCACCAACGGGACTGATAAATACCTTGCAACTACGCGGGTCTTGTAGGGTTGACTTTTCAGCGCGAGAACCTCGTCGCTGCCTTACTGGACCAAAACTTAAGAAGCTCCATTGACGAAATGAATGTCCCGCCCCCAGGTCGAACGGGGGTCTCCTGCCTAAGCGTTTTTGGATAGAATGTGCAGGCGTGCGCCGCGCACCAGCGGGACTCATGAATACGGTACAGCTACCTAGGGCATGTGGGAATGACTTTTCAACGCGGGAACGTCGTTGCTGGCCCGCTAGGCCAAATCTTAAAAGGTTCCATTGCCGAAATCAATGTCCCGCCCCCGGGTCGAACGGGGTTCTCCTGCCTAAACTTTAGGCAAAGACTTTGCCAGATACAATGTGCAGGTGTGTGCACATGAGTCTATGAGTTCCGGGGATTTCGGCCAACTTCAACTTCAACTTCAACCACAACCACACCCAGCTCGTCCGCGAACCGCGCCAAGACAGCTCGCCTGCGCCGCATGAATCCCAGTTTGAAATGAGGTTAGAAGCACCCGGTCGCACATGGGGCGCATCTGCTCCCTATACAGTGTTTCTCTCTTGTAGAGAAGGCAGAAGGCCCCCGTTCGATTCGGGGGCGGGTGATGTGACATTCGGTCGTATTTTACTGGACGCAAGCCCAAATTACTGCGCTCTCAGCCTCTCACTGTTGACGTTCCAACATTATTTCCTCGATTCCGGGAAGTTTGCAGGAATTTCAGTCCCAGGTTATTTCGGCCAACTTCAACTTCAACCACAACCAGCTCCCCGGGGACCGCGCTCGCATGAATCCCAGTCCGAAACAAGTATAAAAACGCCCGGTAGCACATGGTGTGCATCTGCTTTACCTTCCGAGGAACCAACAATGTACGCAGAAGGCCGCCGTTCGATTCGGGGTCGGGTGATTTCAGCCGATTGGTTTTCTTTTTGTTCTTGCATTTGCTTATTGGGTGCAAGGCCGAATTGCTGCGCGCTTATTGACGATCCAACATTTCCTCGATTCTGAGGTGATTTTGGCCAACTTCACCTTCAATTTTAACCACCCAGCTCAGCCGCGGACCGCGCCCGCGCTCGCATGAATCCCAGTTCGAAACAAGGATAAAAACACCCGGTCGCACATGTTGTACATCTACTCTAGCTGACGCCGCTTGACCTCTGCACGCAGCAGAAGACCCCCCGCCGTTCGATCCGGGGTCGGGTGATGGCCCGGAAATTGGTAT